GATGGCCAATGCAGTGGTGGAAGCAGAATCGATAAAAATATAGAAGCTGAAATGGAAGCGAATAATGACATTCCAATGATTGCGGTTGAAATGAATCAAAGGGTAAACTCACAGAAGAAACGCACATCCACGGTCACATCAAAAAATGGTGCCAACATTAAAACCAAAAACGGAAACCTCGTTGCAAAGGAAGGACCCGGTGAATATTACAGTGAGAAAATGGGATCAATTGCCCATGTACTGAAGAATAATACAACACGACAATCACTTTCGTCAAATCAGAACAAGATGAAGAAACGTTTCAAGTGCCAACTTTGCGAATATGCCAGCAATTACAAGCATGCCTTGAATAGACACATGCTAACTCACACTGGCGAGAAACCATATCAATGTGATATTTGCCAAAAAGGATTCATCCAAGCAAATTACATGAAAAAGCACAAAGTTACACACAAAAATGAAATTCCGTTCCATTGCCGAGGCTGTTTCACTGGATTTTCCCAGAAGGTCGACCAAAAAACCCATGAAAAAGTGTGCAAAACACGTCGATATGAATGTCATATTTGTAAGAAGTTTTTCACTGTGGGTAAATTTTCATTGAAAGAGCATATGCGAAAGCACAACGGTGAAAAACCGTATAGATGTGAGATTTGTATGAAACGTTTTACGAATAAAAGTAATCTGAAAAGACATTTGGAGAACATCCACATCTGAATCAATCCATCCGCAAAAAGAACTCACTATTTGCTTCCACCACCTCCAACATATCCGTAGACATGTTCGGTACAGCTTATCTATGAATATCACTTTCAAATAACGGTACCAAACCAGTTACATTCTCATTGAATTCAGAGCGTACAATATGGATTTTTCTTAACTACCGAATTTATATAGTCCCCAAGTTTCCATCTATTTGAAATCCATACAAATTATTTCAACACCTCATTTAATTCACTAAAAACAAATCATTCATATTTAAAGTTTCCTGTATCAGAAATTCTTTTTATTTCAAATAAATAGAAAATTCATCAAAATTGCATTTATTTTGTTTTAAATATTCCCTTATTCTCTCGAAATTTGAATATATTAAATCTAGGTCACATGTATTCAAGGCGGCGAATCGAATTCGTCGCATGGCAGTTTAAATGTGGCGCAAAACTAATGTTGACAACTCATGTCATTGCATCAAACTAGCGTCATCATAATCATACCACTTTGCCTTTCACACAAAACATTCTACATTTATTTTTTGTGCTACGTACGTACAAATCGCAGACAAAGAACTTCAAAGGACAATTGAAAACTGAAATTTTTCAAAGCACCAAAGCGTGCTTTTTCTCGAAAATCAAATTATTCCGAATAAAATTCATAACTGATACTGACTTGCTTGTACATCGAAGTAAAAGGTAAGAGTAAGTGTTGTATAAAAAAATTGGAAGAATTAACAACTGATTTTCAAAGAAGTCTCCACCTATAGATATCATTGCTTCTGACCATGGGTCTAAAGAGTCAGACCGATTTTTTTTTGCAAATTCGACACTGTAGACCTTTTTAGTTACCTTCTCCATAGCTCACCGTATTCTGTCCATTTTTTTAAATCCTAGATGGTTGCCTCAACAATGGGCTGGAAAAACGAAATGCAGAAAATGCTGACTGTCTTCGATTCCCAGGCGACGATTTCATTGGGAAATATTAAAAAAGAACTCAAACGCAATGGTTTATCGTTCAACGCTGAGTTCAAGCAGTATTTTTTGCGGACATCATTTGATCGGTGAGAAATGATTTCTCAGAACATTTCCGAGCAATCAGTGGTATCTTCATTAATTCATTTCTTTTTTTAGGATTAAGACTACGTACAACCAATTCGAGATTGATTCAATGTTTGAAGAGCAAATTGACGATGCATCAAGCTCTAATGGACCCCAGATGCCGAGTTCAATTCTAAATAACAGTTATTACTTGACGGATCCTGTTGAAATTTTCGACTCGAACGACGAAGAAGATCGAGAAAGAAATCAAATTAAACTGGCATCGACGGACATCATTTCTGCGCTTCAGTACACCAATGAGGGCGAAACATCAAAATGGTACGATGATGATCAGATTCACGATGATGGAAGCAACTCGGACATGAAATCAAGCTCTTTTGATGAAATGGAATTGAACGATTTAGATCGGGATGTGGATATAAAAAGCGAAAACTCATCAACCTTGAGGCACGGATCAAATATTTCGCCAAACCAGTTGAAGATGAAGAAGCGATTCAAGTGCCAACTTTGTGATTATTGCAGTGATTACAATTGGTTAATCAAACGCCACATGCGGTCTCACACCGGCGAAAAGCCACATCGATGTGAGGTTTGCCAAAAGGGATTCGCAAGAATGGAACAGTT